AAAAATTGTATTGATTGTTTAATATATATGTATATTTAAATGTGTGCCGCCTAGCCTGTATAGTGGTTACTGCAGTGGTGATGAACCGATGTTCGAATTTCGGAGAAGCCATGGTTGCAACTGTCCGCCACATCATAGGAGGTAACAGTGGCCTATTATTTGCTTCCGTAATGAAATGGTCATTACTTCCGGCTCTTGTAGAGGCGCAAGGCTAATGGCTGTTAAATAAAGCACCTGGCAATTATATATATATCTATATATATATATATGTATATATTTAAATGCGATGACTAATATCTTAAATAGACAGAATTTAATTACCATTGTCATTATGTTTCGTCATTCATTGTTAATATTTTTTTTTCTTTTGGGGAATAATATTTTCTAGATTATGTATCTTATAATACCTAATAGCTGCATATTATTTTAATTATGCTTCTAGTTTAAATGCAGGTGACTAGCAAGGTCGTTTCCAAGACGTAATTTCTTAGCGCGATTAAACATATAATCACGAAAAAAAAAAAAAAAAAAGGATACTCAGCTAATTTGTTTCATTGGGAGTAAAAAAAAAGAGACTTAATTGGTAAAAACATTAATTTAATCAACTCTAATATTACCTGCTTTTCATACGGTTGCAAAAAGGCACACGAAAGCAGATTTCGGAAGTGTTCTATTTTAGTTAAATTTTAAATTTGTTAATACATTGGGAAAGAAAAAAGTATATTATACCATTAGACTTAAACAGATTACAAACTTCGCGAATGTTCTGCTGTTTGTTTTCTGAGTTCATTACGCGTGAAAATTTTATGTTACACTGGGAAGTAATTGCCGCAGTTAAGAAAAACTTAATGATCCCACTAACGATGTGGGGATTCTTCCCTCCAAACACACCACAAACAGTGACTCTTTTTTTTAATTCTGCTATCAACAAGCCGCTTGATGAAACTTTTAGAACCTCTGATTTCTTATCTAAAGTGAGATCTCCCTCGTCTGTTAAAATGAACTCGATTAAATGCTTCTTCTTACGATCTCAGGATTTGTTGTCAGTCTCCTGTTTGCTAAAATCACTGCTCTTAGGCAGTAGCAAATGGAATTTAGAAAAGATTAATTTAGAAATGCAAAAGATGCAAATTTAATCAAATTACAATTATTGCAAACATGCATAAAATATTTTCCTTTTAAGCAGGAGCTATCTATTAAAAATTACATAAAATAAGGAAAAGAAAAAGGAAACATCAAAATTTGAATTTTAATGTTAATTTAATATCATTAATTTAATATAAAATAATGAAATTAACTAATATATGTAAAATTCAGTATTAATGAACACATAATAAATATGTATTTAATGTACTCAATATTAATAATAAATGTAAAATATTATATAATGATATATAAATTAATATAATATAATGAATACCAATAATAATAATATAATACCAAGAGGGAATTTGCCTTTAAAGAGAATGACATAGTTTCAAGGATGGAATGGGGTCAGCCTGCCTCTACCTGCTTCCTGTTGGATCATTAAAAATATTGTAAATCTAAACAAATGAATATGTATTTTTCGACTATAGAGAAGAGGGAAATAGCTTAATAGCGATTGTGAAAGAGGTGCATAAAACAAAAAATTTGGTGAACCATTGATCTGTTCTGCAGATAGATAAAACTGCAGATAGTGGCATATCCCGAAGAGTTCTCAGTAAAAAGTTTCGTAAAGTATTTAAATTTTGGAAAGCAAAAAATTAAAAATCAAAGGATTCAACAGATTCGCAAACAGTTTTTGATATGCAGATTTCAGTTTAACACCTTTAGCAGCCTTTCATTAAGCAGTTATGACAGGTACACCGGTTTAAAATTGAATCCTCTGGAAAATTTTACATAAAACCTGATGAAAAATATCTCTTGTGAATCCATTTTACACTATATTTTGGGAAAAAAGATTCCTTTATTCTGCTCTTACGTACAGATCTCACGCTAAAAATCATTCACATAGATTCGAGAGCGGTCAAAATAGATATTTTCTTTTAAATACGATAACCAAAACTTTTCTCAAGATTCCGGTACTTCCTTTATTTATCAGAATTTTAAAAATTGAAGAGTTACAAAAAATGTATTATAGGTAAATATAATTAAGAGGTGAAATTAATATAAATATAAATAACTACTACTAATAATAAATACTGTGAAAATATGGTAAATGAATGTTAAAATTAATGGATAATTATATACTAACATATATTGTCAGAAAATTTAAAATGTGTCCACCTTAAAAAAAAAAAAATGCAATTTTTTAATATATTTATCTTTTTTTTTTTTTTTTCATATAATAAGAGTGTATTTTTTATATATATAATGGAATGTTTTAGCTCCGTCCAAAAAGGTCAGTTTCCCTTAAACAAAGAACGGAGGGCTTTTAGAAGTGACTGTCTAGCACACTTGACCATCATTGCAGGGCATCAGTTTGTTCAAGTAGATTTGTCCATAAGATGGATATTTTAATATTCAGAGAAAGCTGTGAGGTCTTGCAGTTTTATACAAAAATAAGTAAATTTGACATGTCATAATAGAATAATAAATAACTTAATTTCAATAAAATTGTTTCATGACAATATTAAGTAGAATGAAACTTAGTTATATTATAAAATTTTGAAATTTGTTGTGATCATATACAATAATCAATGGATGTTCTCAAGTTTTTCAATATTTTAAAATTTCTTCCCTAAATAAACACTATTCTGAAGATTTTAAATTTAATTATACAAATTTACTTCAAATTATTTTTTCAATCAGGTTTCTTTTTTAATCTATATTTTCAAATTATTATTTTAAGGTAATGAAAAACTTTTTTGGCACTGCTGCTCCTCTTATTTGGAGATTTCGTATTATCTGACTGAAGCTGCAACTTCATTGATAGGTAACAGAACCGGATTGAGATTGAATTTTAACTCTAATAATAACGAGATTTCCCCAGTCTTAAAATAAAAATCAATAAATCAATGAAATTGAATTTAAAAAAATCTTTGGGCCACACATTCATTCTTGTAGTATCAAAGAACTGACCATAACAAAAGAAGGCTGTCTTTAGTATCACAAATAGGTAATTTTCTTCAAAATGTGTCCTGTTTTTATCTTCACCTTATAGTTCACCTGTTAAACAGACCCTTATAGTTCATCATCTCTACTCAATTTTCCTTTAAAAAAACTCTGTTAGTCCTTTAATATCTTCACTGCTTCACTTTCAGTCGTGTTTCAAATTTCTAGAAGAGATACGTAGTTAATTTTTAGATTTAATATATTATCGTATGGAAACATTGAACAAACGTTGAACATATCATTGAACAAAAATTGTTTTTCTCTGACAAAATAATACAAGGAACATACTTAACATGTAGGAGTATGTATTTCAAAATAAAATGCTTTGCCAATGAATTTAAATCATTACGTACCCAAATAAATGTAAGGATAAAATAATGTACTAAATAGAAACTATCTGGTAACTTATTTTAGTTTCCAAATCTGTAATAATTTTCTAACATTCATCCAAAACTTGAATTACAGGATACTTTTATTAAATACTAGGTAGCTGCATCAAATTAAAAGATTTCTGTAAGTTATACGATATAGCATCAATTCGATTAATAATCTTTGGAACTCCCCCACCGCCTCCAAAAAAAAGTGGAGAAAACACCCTTCTCCACTTCATATTCCATTACTGTCATATTTATGGCACGTCAGCAACATTAAATACTACATTAAATACTACTGCAAACTTAGCAAATGGCAAAAATCAAAATGTGCTTCAAATAGACGCTGTATATTTTATTGCATTCTTATACTTGCAATGATATATATAGCAGTGGTACGAGGGCAATCCCCAAAAAAAAAGGTCTCCTATATTTTTAGATATACAAAGAACTGTTTATTTTCTATAATTGCTACATCACTTTAAAGATTGAAGAATGCTTTATTTTTCAACATAATCGCCATTTCATTCGATGCATTTTTGTAGACGCTGTGGCAGTTTTACAATGCCCCTGTCATACCAGCTTGCCGCCATGCTTTTCAGGAGGAGTTGAACCTCATCTTTCACATCATCATCGGTGACCGTCGTCCAGACAAGTGTTCCTTCAACTTAGGGAACAAGTGGAAATCGCTGGGTGCCCGTTGCCGTTTGTGGTCTTCTGTAAGCCTATGCGGCACCCATCTTGCACACACCTTCCGATATTGCAACTTTTCCGTTATAATCCTGTGGATGGTGCTTCTGGAAACATCAGGAACCAAAATGCAGAGAGCATCCAGAGTGATCCTCCGAATTTTACGCATGAGTTCCTCAACTTTCGCGATTGTCTCGTCGGCAATCGACGGCCTCCCGCTTCTTTCTTCGTCATGAGTTTCAGTACGACCGGCTGTAAACTCTCTATGCCACTTGCGAACGTTTTTGACATCCATGCACGACTATCCATACACTTCCGTCAATAGGCGGTGAATTTCAACTGGTTTAACGCCTTTTGCGTTCAAAAATCGAATAACTGCGCGCACTTCGCACTTGGCGGTAACGTTTGTCGGGAGCTCCATTTCAAATGGCTGCCAAGCCAAGACTGAGCATCCGAGCGAAGCGCCTGCGTGCTAATGTGCTAGCGGAGAAGGCACCACTCACAACAGTGTTGCCAACAACCGTATTAAAACTTTCTCTACGTCCCCAAAAAATAGGAGAACTTTTTTTTGGGGGATTGCCCTCGTATGTTTCTATAGTTTGGTACCTCGGTGAATAAATTAAACAAGAAAATAGCAGAAGTTGATTACTAATGTGATGGTCTGATATCGTTTGCAGCAGTACAATACCAGTTTAGAATCATTTGACACATAACAATACATTTTCGCACTAAATTACGTATCACAGACAAGACGTAAATTCAGATAAGTTAAAAGTTTGTTTCACTGCACCATAAACGTCTCCAAACATTTTCTCTAGAATAAAATACAAGACTAATACTTACCCACAACGGTAACCAACAATGCAGAGTGTCTTGTCCTGGCTTTCTTAAAATCCACTCTGCATCGGTAAATTCCTTCATCATCCAGGGAGATTTTGTCTACCTGAAGAACAGCAGGATGTACAACGGAGCTGAAAAATGATCTGCCTGTGAGTTCCTCACTCGAAGCATGCCTAGCTTGCCCAAGTTTTCCTCGGCGAGCATCCAAACTGTAGATTGGAGTTGCAATTTCATCTTTATACCACAATACAAGGTAGACTTCATCGTCGGGCATGGTTGAAGTTATGTCACAAGGCAGAGACATATGGCCGCCAGATACAGCCTTGTATGGAATCGGTATCTCTGTAAGATAGAACAATGGTTCATCAGTTTGTGATGAAATTGCTAATGGTCAAATATTGTACAACACATGAGAGAAAATCGCGTTTTTAGAATTCCACTGAAACTAGACAGACTTTATTTGAAAGCCATAAAACTTTTTACAGAAAATGTTTTCCTTCCTTTTTGTCATTTTTGGAGTCACACAGTTCACAGATAATCAGTGGCACTTCCCCTAATATAAAGCCAAACTAAGTCCCGCTGTTTTATATAGTAAGAACATTTCAATTAAGTGGTTAAAATTTTCTATATTTTTCGACACTGTGATGGACATTCGAAAAGATTATTAGGAATTTCACGTTGGTGCAAATATATCAGCTTAACTGCTAAGTGAATTGTGTAGTTGTACCATTGATTACGGTAAATCATGCAATGACTCTAACTTAAAAGGAACAATTTCGTGGAAAACTTTCTAGTGAAAACTCTATTATAAGCATATTACACATTGGGAATCTATTAACATTCAATGGAAAGCTAACATTCGCTACACATGGAGAATGTCATTAATACTGAATGGAAGAGTCTAGAACTTGCATTTTATAATGCACCATGTGAAGTTTTGGAACGTAGGATATGAAATTATAATCTTAAGATGCCATGAATTCTAGTCTTACTAATTTTAGAGACATTTGTATGGATTAAAAGTGTGTTTTATAATAAAATAAATACATTATTTTTTAAAAATTTGAAAAATGCTTAATTTGAGTAATGTATTCACAAGTAATCTAAATTATAAACGTAAACATTAATATGATTAAACCTGGATTAAACAGCTTCTTTTAAAATTAATTTAACGCGTTATTGAAACATTTGTCAAAATGTATGCCCACAGAATTAGGTTTCGTTTACCCACTGACCACTGCTGGTTAATAAAGCTTTAATATATGGATAATTAATTTATTTTCATTACATCATAGTTTTCGATTTTGGCTGCTTGAAAAAATTTAATGAAAGTAACTTGTGAGAACAAGTATTATTCATAAGCAAATTCATACAACTTTGGTAAATCAGATAGGTAAAACAATATTTTATTAAAGCACACTTTTTTATTTACAAATATATACAAAACATTTACAAATATATATTCCTCGCAACATGCTAATTAGATTTTAAAATGATCATTTAACCTATTCAACAGTTTAAAATATTCCTGATTTACAAATGGGCGAAGTTTAGTAAAAAATTAATTCTCCAAAGAAAAACAGAATTGCGCATTCCTCTTAGCTGCCCAATAAAAAATAAAATTAGAAACATTACATGCCACATAATTAGAACAATAAAATAACTCCCAATTTCATGCCCTAACGAAGCAATTTTACCATGCATGAATTTCATTTATAGACCAATGTTTCTAACTTTACAAATTGGGAAATGAACAAAAGCAGCATCTAGACCATGAAAACAGCAGCTAATTAAACGAAATGCATGAAAAGGTCGCAGAATCGTTCTCTCATAAATCACAGATAACATCAACTTCAAAGCGCTTAGCAGACTCAAAACTGAAACCTAAATAACAAAAGGAAAGAAAATACCAAAATCATTAACGAACATTAAGCCGGGACATTTAGCTGGAGGAATACTCCGGATGAGGAATTCGGTAGAAAGTTTTTGTCTATTGTTAAAAACGAGATAAAAATGCCAATTGCGTCATCTAGACTGCGACGTTGCCATTGTTCTGAACATCATAAAAACATTTAAAGGTATTTTCCATCTCCTTCTCTTTCCTATTGTGAACTTTTTCTTTTTATCTCGTTAAAGAACGTATTTTTTTTAAATGCAAAGAACTAGAAACTTTTTATGGGAAAAAATCGTCATGAAAAAAGAAATTGCTATAATGTACTCTTTCATAAATTAGAAACCAGAAAGAACAAAATATTGAATTTTACTCGTGCTCTCTTGAGGATATTTTGAAATCAGAAAACTTATGTTCAAGTAAACTATCTTTAGCTGAATCAGTTCAAAACTGTTCAAACTTATGAATAGTTTTATAAATCTCCCAAAGCTGAAACTGTTCCCTGAAAGTAAACTGCAATTAAAATTTAATTTATTATATCTTTGGTTTATTCGAAATACAAGTATGATATATCTTACAACTCATCGACCTGATTAAAATTAAGGTCAAAATTACTGTTTTAATTAGTAATTTAGTAATAAATTTTAGTGAACGAAATTTTTTAATTAATGTGTTGCAACCAAATTTTAGCAGAATGTGATTGATTCGTTTTATTTTTATTTTAGAAAAGATTAAGCAAAGAGAACTTGCAGAAAAACTTTTTCTTTGAGCCAAAATTTTATCTTCATGCATAATTAACGGGAATAAAAATTAAAAAAAAAGTATTTAAAGCTTTTCATTAAAAGTAATTTAGGTGTAATTTCATAAAACTCAGATCTTAGACTTATAAATCATTAATGATATAAAATGTTGCTCACAGAAATCATTATAAAGAAAGAATAAACTGCATTTCCTTAATCAATGAAATTTTCACAAATCTTCAAATACTAAATTTTTATTATCGTAAGTATTTTTTTCAGTTGGAATAAAATTAATGAGCGGTTATCTTAATTATTCTATAATGAAGTTACTTTAATAATTATTTAACATTCAATCATTTTCCCATTTCTCTTCAGATCATTCACAAATAAATTCCTGTCACCTAAAGACAAAAACAAATTGTCTGCGCAATTTAATTTATGACCAGGGCGTCTTTTCCAGAAATAAGCAAAGTTCTATACAGACAGAAGGTTTCTCATAAAAAACTGTACATCTACTAGTATATAAGCTATATTATGATTTTAATTAATCAATTTATTATTTTTTATGGCGGATGCTGGCTTTTTTTAGGCTTTCGCCTCTACTAAGGGCATAATTGGTGGTCATTTTATTATGGAGGCACCTAAGAGGTGGCCACCGTTACCTCCTATGATAAAAATAAACAATTCACATCCACAAACTCGGGCCCTTCGGTATCGGAGTCGGCTTCCTAACCCCTATAACTTCTGGGCGGCTATACTATGAAACATGATTAAAAGAATTACGAGAAAGGAACTCTATGAAAAAAGATAATATGTGTTTAGAATTCTTTCTTTAAACGTTGCATTGTTTGCAAAACTTCTAAAAAATAGTAGAACGTGGAAAATTATAGAGCATTAGTAGTATTAGATTGAGCATTAGTAGTATTAGATTAGTGTATTAGATTCTTGTTAATCAAATGGTTAAATGTAGACGCGTGTGCCCAGGCGTGATGTAGACTGATGTGCTGCTGTGACTGCGATATTTGTCATTGATTGTTGGAGGTGACAATTTTGAGCACATCGATGCATCGCTCCATATCATCACAGTACACAAGATCTACTAAACAATTAAATGATCTACTTTATTTTAGGTCAGCTATCGAAAACGCATTTTTATGTCATGTTATGCAGAACTGTATAAATAACTGTTAAATTCCTATTTTTCTGTTTCATATCGTTTTGCAAGAAATTAATATTACGTTGATTTCCATTCTTTACAGTTTCAGCCATTTTGTATTTTTTTTTTAAACTACAACAATAGTAACTCGTTTTAAGAGCAAAATTCACCAGATTGTAGGAACCGGCATTTCTACTAAGGAAGCCCTATTTTCAGAAGCACATAGAATTTCCTTCTTTTTTAGAAAGGCCAATCAGTAATATTCTTTAGAAAGGGAGTTTTCGACAAGAATATAGGCAACATTGATCATTAACGCCTGTAGAAAGACATATATTTGGCTTCACTCATTGAGCCATTTTGCGTAAATTACATTAAGAGTAAAGATATCACTGAGAAGACCATTCATTGCAGTTCGGCTTTTAATACCACAACTGTAATTCACAGTAATTCACTAAATCTTCCCTATTATTAACCTAAAATTGAACCATTGCTTTAAAAATGTAGTCTTTCGCCAAAGATTGCCCAAACTGTCTCCATCAGCCGCTAATAAAACTTTCATTTAAAAGATAAAAGTCAGTTACTCTAGGAAGTAATATTTTGGCTTTTTTTCTATAATTTGTAATTAATTCATGTAGTATTGGCGTGATTTTAATCTAGAGTTTAAAAAATATTAATTATTTTTCTTTATTTTAATTTTTCTTAAGTTTTTAATTCGACTCATCTTTGAAGATACATTCTGCAAAGTCTACTATTCCACCAATATAGTATATATGTAGCGGTAAATCCTTCCACAACATCTACTTCTACTTTAACTTAGCAGAGCCATGGCGGAGTGTAGTGTAGCTTGCAGATCGACAGACGAGAGTTGGAAGTGATGCGTTCCAGACAAGCGGATATTCTGAGATGGAATGGAAGCGGACAGAAGGTCCGCAGGTACATCAAGTTTGTCCACAGTAGGATGTAGATTACTATATATATATAATACATTTATACCCGCTTTAAGCTTTAAATCTTAGTAGGAAATTGATATCATGAGAAGACGTAGGAGTATTATTCTTGGTTATGTTTTAGATAGATTCCTTATTTTTATTAGGTCCACAGGTCCATCAAGTTTTTCCACAGTAGGATGTGGGCAAAACGTGCCTTTGAATGTGATTTGAAAAATGTGAGTTAGCTAGCCATACAACAATTCTGTGGAAATGTTGAAATTATGATCATTGTGAGATTGCTTGCAAACTTAACTTTAATTATCTTTTATTTATCTTACTTTTCATTTATTTAATATTAGTAAAATAAAGCATTTAATAATGCAATAGACGTGCTCTCCTCATGTTATTTGAAAGTAAATGCTGTATATATATATATATATATATATATATATAATATTATTACATTTATACCCGCTTTAAGCTTTAAATCTTAATAGGAAATTGGTATAATGAGAAGACGTAGGAGTATTATTCTTGGTTATTTTTAGATAGATTCCTTACTTTTATTTTGCAGTTAAATACGTTCTCAAGTAATCTGGAATGATAAAGACTCCTAATCAAAATT